ATCCAAGAGAGACTAATTGGTGTATATAAATATAACAATACTCACTCCTCTTGATTTGAAACTCAATGTAGAACAATGATAGATGGTAATTTTTCTATGATTAAGAAGTTTATGGATTTTCACTGACTAGAAATGTGTTTCCTGTAAGAAACGAACATAGGCATCGCCACATGTCACCCAGAACTCTAGATATTGTTTCTGGAATGTTCAAGCTTTGGACATTCCATGATGCAGTCTTGATTGGGGACTTGGATTTGGGCTTTGGATGCACCATGGAGGTGGTCATGTGAGAGGGGAGGAAGGGATGGGCAAGAAGTATGTATGGAGGGACATAGAGTTGGAAGAAAAACAGTAGCAGTCAAAGAATAATGGAGAATGGAGAGGTATCTAGAGGGTAAAGGAAAAATAAATGTGTTTACAGACTTTACAGCTGTGTATGCCCCTGTGGTCCCAATATTCAGTAGGACCGGTAGAGGAACACAGCCTGATGTGGGGAAGATATCTCGCCAGCCAGCAGAAGGTCAGAGCCCAATTTGTTAATGCCTGACCAGACAGCAATACATTGATCATAAACAGCACTATCCAGCCAAAAACATTATGATCAATAGAGGAACCTATATCAGAACAAAATAAATGAATGGGAACAAAATGTAGTATCACTGTTATAACCTCCCCTGGAAACAGCCTCCCCTGTAGGTCATTCATGTACACACAGTAGTCTCTTAGCCCTGTTCAACATAGGTCTTTACAATAAGCTTGAAAGTTCACTTAGCTCTCCCTTAAGGTTTTGATTAAGACATACTGGGGGAGATTTATTAAACTGGAGCATTCAAAATCTGTATGGTAGCCAATCAGCTTCTAACTTCAGTTTGTTCAATTAAACTTTGACAATAAAACCTGGAAGCCAACTTGTTTCTATGCAGAGCTGCACTAGATTTTGTATGTTTCAGTTTTAGTAAATCACCCGCATTGTTTCCAAGGTCTGTTGTCACTGAACTACATTTAAGATGTGCCATAAAGAAGAAATTAGCAGAGTTTGGGTTCCCAATAGTGAACAGAAATCTAGGGACTAGTTGAGCCCTCTGCACTTGACTGCAAAGTATGGTTCTTGTCAACTGAGGGTGTCAAGGCGGGGTGTTTTATTTCCAGGTGGAGCCTGAATGAATAACTCATCTATCCATTATAATCCCTGGACATTGATGAACTGCAAAGTTATTATCAGGGGTGGACTGACAGCTCATGGGGCAATAGGGGATCATGGGGCCCCTGTGTCCTTGCCAAAACTCAAAAAAGCCTATGAAAAAGGTACCAGGGGCATCTCATGGGGCCCCCTACTGCCCCCGTGCCCCAGTTTCCAAATGGTCAGTCTGCCCCTGGTTAGTATAGAAGAGCTGTAACCAGAACAAAGAATTTCAAGGTGTGAGTGTCAAAGGAAAGGACAACTCAGTAGGGTCTGTTATCTATTGGGAAGTGTCATTGCTCCCTGTTGTTTAAGGACTTGGACCATCTCCCTCAAGAAGTTCCCTATGAGAGAGTGTGTCCTGCCTTAAGATCTGGGAAATTGGGTCAGATCCAGTGTACGCTACAGAGTAAATCTCCTGGACTTTTAGGGACAGATGAAGATGTTGCAGTGACTCTATGGACTCTGTCAATGATAATCTAATTAGAGGCTCTGTGTCCTCATAGCAGGTTAAAGATGCCCATGATGGTAGCTTTTAGGTCATGTGCATTGGTTTCCTCAATTCATTATTATTCCATAAAATAAGGGATGTACCAATACTGTTTTTTTACCGGTGAATATGAACACTAATACTTTCGGTCAAGTACTGGCTGATACCGAGTACTGATACCTTTGGGGTGTGACTTGAGTCCATATAGAATGAATGGCTAAGAATTGCATGTTATTTGAACAGGAATGCTGTGTGATGCCTATCCAAATTGTATGTGGTTTCCTGCACAGCTCCTGTGTGAACCCAGGCTTGTCATAGGGACTTTGAGCCTGAGTTCCCACAGGAGGGGTCGGGAATTCTTCATGCATGAAAGGTTCCACCACCTCTGGTTCCCGATCCCACTGTGGATATCAGTTGCCATGGTATGGGCTCCTCCTGCCTCTCTCATGGTTCTCTTGTAAGCGAGGTTTTCATGGAGCTCTGACCTTTGCTTACTCACTCCCCATAGCTGGGCCACACCCCTATAGGCTTCTTTTTAATGTTCTCTTTTAAAGGGATATTTTTCATTGCTCTGCTTTTTTTTAACAATAGTGTTTTTGGAGTTCTGCTATAACTTGAATAAGCCACATTTATGACTTATTTATATTATGACATATAAGTAAAGATATTTCCTAAAATCTATTTTTTTTTTTCAACAACAAAGATCAATAATCTAAAGCTATAATTCTCCATGCTTTAATATGATCACATTGGTCTTTCACACGTATATGTATATATATCTTTTTTCTGATAAGCATTTCTAAAATTAACAATGAAAGAGAACTTTGGAAATGCAGTGGTAAGCACATTTACAGAAAAAGCACCTTGTCACAATTTATGAATGTTCTGAGCTTGCGCCTGGTGCAGATAAACGATCTGCTACAGCAAGAAGACACTGAAAATACTAAATATATTACTGTTTGCTCTCACATGCAGTTCACTATGTGTCCTGGGTTAAATACAACTTTCTTATTTGAATAGAAATATTTCTTGCATATAACTGACAAATGCAATGTAATAAAATCATGCCATATGCTTAAAATGTTTATGATTTTTGTTTCCAAAATGTAATTATAACAGTTTACTGTTTCCTTTTAAAACAAAGGTTTCTTGAAAGCAGAAGAGGAAATTTGTTTCTGCCAAAATTCTATCCCAGAACAGCAATACTGTGTGTTATTTTTAAGTGCAATGTTTAGATGGGAGCTTGAACCTTAATGAAATTTTCAGACCTGGCTATAGAGATTTCTTTTCCAAGTTACTGATCTTTGTGAAGGATTGCTGGCATATAGTAAATAACTATAAGAACATTTTCAGTTGATATAAACTTTAACATAGCAGCACAAATATGGCAATAAACAAAAAACAGTATTTATGCCTAAAATAAAAGAAACCAAGACCCTAGACTGAGCAACTGTTGTTGTTATTGTTGTTGTTATTATTATTACTATTATTATAAAATGTTCCTTTGAAATGAGCTTCAACATAAAAAATCTTTCTTACAAGATGTAAAATCACAGGGGGTTATAAAAACCATTTAACAGTATAACCAGATTTGTTTCCACCTTGTAAATGAACAATTTTTGCAATTGCATACTTTTATATTTTAGTTAGATGTGCTTAATGTGTTACTAAACCCCGGACCCTGCATTTACTATATCTGTCTCCAACAGTACACAGAACATGGAAATTCAATTATTTTAGTAAATGGAAACTGCTAAATACCTTTTCTAATTAGCAGTTAGAGCAGTCTTGTGACTTCTATCAGTGTCCAGCTGAGCACTGGTTAAAGCTTGTAGAAGGAGTTTTCATTCCCCTCCCACTGCCTTATGAGATTGCATAACCCCTGACCCTCTATCTGGACAGTGCTGATTGGCCCTGTGCTGACCACATGCACCCTCCCAAAAAAAGAAAAAACTTTCTAGCAGTACATACCAAACTGAGCACGTGCAGAGTGTCTCCGAGGCTCTGTTCTATCAAGATGAAATGGGGATCCTGGAAGAAGGGGAGGATCAAAGAAGACAAGATCAAACAATCTTTTTTACACAATGCAGAGGATTAACCCCTCAAGTTCCACAGTGAGTATAACACGCATGCTATAATGCATCTACAGACTGATTTTACTGTTGTGGGTTTAGTAACACTTTAATAATTAAACCAGTGTTTACTTTAACCTGTCAGAGAGGTTAAATGAAAATGAAATGCAGACATTCTTCTTAATCAGCTGTGCTAATCGAAGCAAATACAAATTCCAGGGTCATAGCTAAAAATTCATCAATACCTTTGGTTCAAGGCAAACCCTGCGTGATCAAGATCTGTGGTCCTGAGAAAATAATGTGGGTGTAACCTGGACTGTAGCTGATAACAGTTGCAGATCTTATTTCTTTGTTGATGCTGTATTATCCTTCTGCAGTGTGGACAGGGTAAACTGAATATTCATTAATGCAGAAGTACAGCTGTCATTTTTAAGGAGACCACTTTGCATTATTCGTCTATGGAGTGTCTCCAGTGAATAATGTTATTGTCCTATTGATAGTTTGTATAATTACACTTGCTAATCCTCTCCCCTTTTAGGCTATGCTTGGTCTAATAAATTTGAAATACCTCAAAGTGTGTCTGTGAGTCTAGATGAGCAAGCTGTGTCATCTTCAGATGTGCAGAGAAATCACAAAACAATTTGACATTTCTGAGGGTGGCGCTACATGGGAATTTGCTAGACATAGTTCTGTTTAACCACTTGTCTACTGGGTACTTTCACCCCCTTCCTGCCCAGGCCAATTTTCAGCTTTCAGTGCTGTCACACTTTAAATGACAATTGCACCGCCATGCAACACTGTACCCATATGACATTTTTTGACAGATAGAGCTTTCTTTTGATGGTATTTAATCACCTCTGGGTTTTTTTATTTTTTTGCTAACCAAACCAAAAACAACTGAAAATTGTGAAAAAAAAAAAAAAAAAAAAAAAAAGTTTTTTCTTAGTTTCTGTTACAAAATTTTTTAAATGAGTAATTTTTCTCCTTCACTGATCTGCACTAATGAGGCTGCAGTGATGGGCCCTGATAGCTGCACTGATGGGCGCTGATAGGTGGCACTGATGAGGAGGCACTGGTAGGTGGCACTGATGGGCATTGACAGGCATCACTGGTGGGCATTGACAGACATCACTGATGGGCACTGAAAGGCGGCACTGATAGGCAGCACTGACTAGCACTGATAGGCGGCACTGACTGGCACTATTAGGCGGCACTGACTGGAACTGTTAGGTGCAACTGACTGGCACTGATAGGCAGCGCTGATGGGCACTGATAGGCGGCACTGACGGGCAATGATATGTGGCACTGACAGGCACTGATAGGCAGCACTGACTGGCACTGATAGGTGAAACTGATAGGAAGCACTGACTAGCACTGATAGGCGGCACTGACTGGCACTGTTATGCAGCACTGACTGGCACTGATAGGCGGCGCTGACGGGCAATGATAGGCGGCCCTGACTGGCACTGACAGGTGGAACTGATTGACAGCACTCATAGGTGGCACTGACGGCACTGATAGGTGGCAATGACTGGCACTGATAGTTGGCACTGAAAGGAAGCTCAGATGGGCACTGATATGTGGCATTGATGTGCACTGGTAGGCACTGATATGTGGCATTGCTGTGCACTTTTAGGCACTGACAGATGGCATTGATGGGCACTGACAGGTGGCACTGATGGGGCTACACTGACAACACTGTTCAACAAATTTTTATTTTTTTTCCAGTTTTGGAAACAAAAGGATCCATTTCTTAATGAATTTCACATTCTGAGTTCAAATATAACAATGAAATTTGTCAAATGGCTCTAGTTTTTCTGTAAACGGAAAGTTTTCTACTATAGGCGTAATGACTACATAATGCACAATAATTATATAGATAGATGTCTTTCCACAAATATAAAGCAAGTGATATTGACTACATAACAAAGCCTAAATGGCATAACATATTGCATAGGATCACCAAGAAAAATTATAGCCATAAGCTAAGTTGAATCATTTTAATACTTAGGATTCTCACTAGTTTTGTCTTCAGTTTGTGTCGGTTAGTTTTGCTTCTCTTGGCTTTTCTCTTGTATTCGAGGAAAGGGCTATCTCTTACAACTGTCCAGCAATAGTCAGCAAGCATTGATGGGCTCCATTTACCTTGATATCTTCTTTCCATAGCTGCAATGTCTTGATGGAAGCGCTCTCCGTGTTCATCACTCACTGCTCCACAGTTTTGGTGGGAAAAAATCCAGATGCGAATGTAGAAAATGAATTTTTAGAGACATGTTGCAACCCAGATTTCTGTAAGTCTGGATGAGTTTTTCTACCACTTTCTTGTAGTCTGGTGTTTTATTGTTTCCAAGAAAATTTGATGTCACTGATACAAATGTTGTTCAGGCAGCCTTTTCCTTTCCACGCAACAGAGAAAGAAACTCATCATCATGAATAAGTTTACGAATCTGTGGCCCAACAAAAGACTCCTTCATTTATTTTTGCAGCACTAAGTGCTGGAAATTTGCTAATCAGGTACTTGAAACCTGCTTTATTCTTGTCCATTGCCTTAACAAAGTTTTTCATTAATCCCAAACTTGATGTGTAATGGAGGTAATAAGATCTTATTGCTGTCTACAAGTGCTGGATAGTTAACATTTTTTTCTCCAGGCTGCAATGACTGGCGTAATGGCCAGTCTCTTTTGGCATAGTGCATTTCTCTCGCACGACTGTCCCACTCACAGAGGAAGCAGCAGTACTTAGTATATCCACCTTGAAGTCCAAGTAGGATAGCAATCACCTTCAGGTCACCACAAATCGACCATTGATGTTCATCATAGTTGATGCACCTTAAAAGCTCTTTCAAGTTTTCATACATTTCTTTCATTGAAACTGCGTAAGCAACTGGAACTGACGGCAGCTGATTGCCATTATGGAGCAAAACAGCTTTAAGACTCGCCTTTGAAGCATCAATGAACAGCCTCCACTCATCGGGATCATAGCATACGCCGATGGCTGAGATTAAACCATGAACATTGTTACATACAGCAATATCACCTTCCTGGACGAAGAATGGGATCAGATCTTTCTGACGATGACGGTAGAAAGACGTACGAACATCACTTGCTAGGAGATTCCACTGTTGTAGTCTTGACCCCAAAAGCTCTGCCTTGTTCTTCGGAAGATCCAGGTCTCTGATAAGATCGCTCAATTCCACTTGTGTAATGAGGTGTGGTTCAGTGGGTGTGGATGGAAGAAAGTCTGGGTCATGTGAGGTTGACGGTTGATGACTACACGCTTCAGGTTCTTCCTCACTTGACTCAACCACGAAGGATTCTGGTGCTATAGGAATTGGTAGCCCCTCTCCATGAGGAACTGGACGTATTGCCGATGGAATATTTGGATAGTGCACAGATAACTTTTTCTTCTTATTTAGCCCTTTTGTTGGAGGCACCATACAAATGTAACAATTACTAACATGATCTGTTGGCTCTCTCCAAATCATTGGCACAGCGAAAGGCATAGATGCCTTTTTTCCATTCAACCATTGCTCCAGTGCCGTCCCACAAGAATTGCAGCATATATGTGGTGCCCAGCTCTTGTCCTGGTCTCCTATCTTGCAGCCAAAATACAAGTTGTAGGCTTTCTTAATCATTCCTGTTATCCTCCTTTTTTGTGAGATAAAAGTTATTTCACCGCAGATATAGCAGAAATTATCTGCTTTATTCACACAAGTTTGAGGCATTACTGAGTAGCCTATATAAGCATAAAACGAAATGTAAAGACGCTGTCGAACTACAATCAGCTACAGATACTGCAGCTTTTATGCAGTGAAGTGATGCAATTAAAGGCTAATATTGCATCATCTCAGTATACATGCAATTTTCTATTGGTCACCAGTATCAATTGCGCAATATGCAGCTGAAGTTGCATCATAATTTTGAATGGCTTACGTCATTAGATGGGTGAATATATCATAGAAACTAGAGCCAATCAACATTTTTTAGGGTCATTTTCGTTTTCAGCACCCCAAAATTATGTAAGATTAGCTAATTTTATGCCCAAAACGTTTTACCTGTTGAACAGTGTAATCAGTGTAGCCCCTTTGAGGATGTCCCCTTTGAGGAATGCCGATTACTGGCTCTCCTCTCCTCACATGCTGTCAGCATGACAGCTCGTGAGGGGAGGAATGCCTATAACTGGCATTTCCTTATTTACATGTGATCAGCTGTGATTGGACACAGGTGATCACATGACAGAGGCGATGTTATCGGCTCTTTCTGCTGATTAGTGATCTGCTGTGTCTCAGGGACACATCACACCACCGAGCACCACGCTGCATGCCCCCAGGGTCGCGCACGTGTGGTTAAGAGTGGGAGGATGTCATATGATGTCCTCCCAGAACAAGAGAACCACCGCCCGTCTGATGAATTAAAAGTGCCAGTGTTCTGTCCTCACTACATGTTTCCCTGTGTTTAATTTGACATGCAGCTAAACCCTCCTATTCTGCAATAAGCTAGACTGAAATATAATCTTGAAGCTCTAATAACAAAACACAGTGGGTGAAGCTAATAGGAAAACAAGTAAACAAGAAAGACATACAATCAATGTATGAAGCATACAGAAACCACAATAAATAATTAGTTTAATTCCATCAGTTCTTAAAATGAGTCTGAGCTCCCAGGATGCACCTGTTTCCTTTTCTTAGAATGAAAGAGTTTTTTATTAAGGTTAAACAGTCTCTAGTTTCTGTAAACCAGTACATTTATTACAGGCTCCATCTAGTGTCCAAATTTAATATGACATTATGATTTTCCCTGCTGCAAGCAGAACAGCCAGTAAGGTGTTTTTGGATAATTTGACCCACTGACTATAAAAAAGTGAGATCATAGCAGCCATACTGACAAGGTGCTTTATCTGTGTTAGGAAAAGCTTAGGAAGTGCTGCTAATAAACTGCATAGGGACAGATTAGTGTAGAGCTAGTAGGCACTGGCAGTTCTATTAAAGTAGATGTAGATCCTGAAAAAAAATTAGGTAGCAAAATGATATGTATCTTAGAGAAACTGGAAGAGGGGAAGTAGGGGGTGGGAAGGGGTTTTACCTGTTTTATTCTTTGTTACATGATAATTAACAGCCTCATTGTTACAAGTGGCTGTTGATGTCCTGCAGGCTCTTTACAGCCTGTGCTTGTCCACATGCACTACAGTGATAACAGGCTAAATGTGTTTCTTCACAGGACATTTCTAAATTAAACTAATGGTGTGATAAATCCTTTCCATTAATTTCATTGCTTCCCTGCGTTGTAATACCTGGGAACATGGAACTGCCAATTCAGAGCAACAGCCCAGTGAATTGCACTAAATAATGTATTTTCCAGTCTCTGATAGGGAGGTGACACTTCTGGAAGCTCAGCAGAAAAAAGGCACATTAAATAGGTAAGGATCAGTTTAGTCCCAGTAATCTGAGCATCTTTGGTGGAGGCTTGTTTCCAGAGAGGTCCAAGACCTCTACAGATTCAAAATATGTGGAATACATGCCCCTCTCAAAGCAACCCCTGAAGCAGGTCTCTGGAAACAGTAGAAACAAGTATGCAGTTTGGTTTTTGTAAAATACCAGCCAGTATGTAGTTTTAATACTGTTTCCTTTATGGCCATCGAACGAGTGCACTTATGCATATTGGAGAGCATCTCAAGCCAATCCTCCATAGAAAATTTATGTCTAGCCTCACTTTCCCAGCTGATCATTACAGAGGATCTGACTGGGAGGCCTTGTTTGTTTAAAAGCCAATAAAGCTTAGAAATAATACCCTTGTCTCTAGAGGTGGAGCAGCACATCTGCTCAAATACTGGGCAAAGGCACTTGGGTTTGGGCCATAAGTTGAGGAGTAAATATGTCTAATTTGCAGGTATCTAAATAATTCTGAGTGGGAAAGGTTAAAGGTATGTGGAAGAAATTGAGCTAAAGGGGGTTTCTGTAACAATGACACCCACGTCACTATAATGTGCTCTATCCATCTGGCAAAGCCTGTTTTGGCTGTAAAGGCTGCTTGGGAGGATGGGTCAACCAAGAATGAGGCCAAACGAGGGGATGAGGGAATCAGATATAATTTTTCCTTGAAAAGGAACCACAGATAAAGAGACTGGAAAGCTACAGAATTTAAAGAGGCTATATCTCTAGGCCTAATAAATCATGGCTATAGAAGGCCCAGGAGGTAACAGGGCTTCATCGAATTAGATTCAAACCATAGCCAAGTTATATGAGCAGATGGAGTATGCCATTGAGCCAACTGTGCCAAACGGGCTGCTAAATAATATTTACAGAAGATGGGCAAGCCCAACCCTCCCATTACTTGGGTCCTTTAAGCCAACCATTTGCCTAAGAGAGGTTTTTTTTTTTTACCTTGCCATAGGAATTTATTCATCTCTAGTGATGAGCCGAACACCCCATTCAAATGTTTGACTGCAAACTTTGAACTCAGTGCAAGTCCATGGGACTCCAACTTAAATTAAAAAGTGCCCATTTTGATAGCTTATATGCAGTTATTGGCCATAAAAGGGGTAAGAGGACTCAGGTACTGCCCTG